GGAGCACCGGGTAATGTGTTACGGGTGGGATTTCGGGAAATGCTTTTTCAAGATGTTAATGATGTTCTAATTGGGAGAGCAGATCCTGCTCCTCAGCTGTTAGGTTCATCTTCTCTCAAAGGTGATGCCTAAGAGGGGATGTGGATGGATAGGTTTCCACTTCCCCATACGGCTCCAGGCTTGGGACACAGTCGGTCCATCGCAATATTCCAATTACAGGAGAATGACGCCTTGCCCGGATGACTCATCCATACTTCTCAATGTCTATAGTAAGGAATGAAGAGGAGATAAGAAAGGCATTCAGGGCAACTCAGCATTGTATTTCCCCTTCTTGGAAACAGTGGTTTGATCAGCAATGGTTCAATGGTTGGGGAAGGGCTCCCTTAGATGCTTTCCAGCCCGTCTGAAGGAAAGAGCTAGCTCTAGATGCAAAGTTCACGAAGGGGATGGGATGAAAGGGAGCTTACCCACAGGCTTCTCATCTGTGCATCATCTATACTGCCAAAAGCAAGAAAAAAAAAGCCTTTTCTACAAGGTTCAGTGCTCAGTCAACTGATCTTTCCCGTTCGCAGAGGGCATGCACTGTTGGCTCAGCTCCCACTGTCTGCCTACGTAAAAGATGCTGGTATTTCTGTGCATGGTTTCTCCCATCTTGGAAAGTCTGCCTCCTGCCTCCACGTTTTCTCCCGAAGAAAAGAGAGCATCATCTTCAAACGGGAGACTTCGTCATGGCCGTTAGCCCTAAGTGCCTGGCAGGTCTGCCAGCCAAGTAGGCATTTGCCAAGGCGGCCTCCTGTGGTCAGGGCTGGAGGGGGGGATGGCAAGTAAGCATCTATGGAGAGTTTTCCAAGGATCAGGTTGGCCATGGGGGAGGGACTTCAGGGAATGCTACCTCAGCCCACCTACCCTTGCAGGGGTTCCAAATCCTTGCCTCTAGAACAGTGATGGCGAACCTTTTGAGCTCAGCGTGTCAGCATTTTGAAAAACCCTAACTTAACTCTGGTGCCGTGTCACATCTAGAAATTTTTTGATCTTTGCAGCCATAGTAAAACAAAGATTTATATTTTTGGTATTTATTTTATATATTTAAATGCCATTTAACAAAGAAAAATCAACCAAAAAAATGAGCTCGCATGTCACCTCTGACACGCGTGTCATAGGTTCGCCATCACTGCCCTAGAATAAACGGGTTTGGGATCAACAGAAGAGGGTTAGGAGCCCCACGTCCTTTGCTTGGAGGAAAAGGTGATGCGGCGTGAGAACGGAAAATGCTGACAGAGGCACAGGATGAGACACTCTGGAGCCAGACAAGAGATGCCTCAGCTAGAACCCCCACCCCAGACAAAGACAACTCGATTCCCTTATTCCAGAAGCTCGGGTCACGAATACTCAGGGTCCTGCCAACAAAATGTCAGCGGTGGCTTGAAGGCTGTATTGCCCCATGTCATTGGGCTTTGGTCTCTTAGAACCAGGATTGGGACTTCCCATGCTGTGGGAAGAAGGAGGGGTACGGCACGCCCTTCCCCAAGCAGATGATCCACTCTCCTTTCCCCAGTTCTAGTGCTGGGGTTCTTTAAAAACAACCTAGCTGGTTTGGCTCCGTGGATAGAGCATTGGCCTGCGGACTGAGGGTCCTGGGTTCAATTCCAGTCAAGGGCACATGCCCAGGTTGCAGGCTCGATCCCGTGCAGGAGGCAGCCAATCAATGATTCTCTCATCGTTGATGTTTTTCTCCATCTCTCTCCCTTCCTCTCTGAAATCAATAAAAATACATTTAAAAAACACACAAAGAAAACAACCATTTTCTGTGGTTGAAGCAAAAGGCAATGCTCAGAGATTTTAACAGGCTCTGTCTGTAATCAGAAGACAGATTCACTGAAAAAGTCCCACGGAAAAGTCCCACCAGGAAGCCAGGGTGGGAGCAGGGCCTCCAGGGAATGGGGCTATTGGCATTTAGAAGGCTCCCATCACCTTCCAAAGGCAGCTGTCAACATCTGGGCCTGCATTTAGGGCCAGACATGGGGGTGGAGCTTGGTCCACAATGACTCAGCTCTCTTGGGACAGGCTGCATGCAAGATGGCTCCAGCAGGCATATTCTACAATGCATCTTCCCTGAAATCCAAAACACTAATTCAAAAAGACATATGCACCCCTATAGTCATTGTAGCATTATTTACAATAGCCAAGATATGGAAGCAACCTCAGTGTTAATCGACAGACAGATGGGTAAAGATATGGTACATGTGTGCAGTGGAATATTACTCAGCCATAAAAAAGAATGAAATCTTACATTTGTGACAATATGGATGGACCTAGAAGGTATAAGTAAAATAAGTCAGACTAAAACAGGTCCCATATTTCATTTATATGTGGAATCTAAAAAAACAACAAAATAAACGAAGAAACAAAACAAACTCATATTCAAAGAACAAACTGACAGTTGCCAGATGGGAGGGAGGGTTGTCTGAAAAAAGTGGAAGAGATTTAAAATATAAATTGTCAGTTATAAAACCAGTCACAGGAATGTAAACTACGGCATAGGGAATATAGTCAATAATATTGTAATGACTATATAAGGTGTCAGATGGTACCAGACTTACCAGGGTGATCACTTTGTAAGGTACACAAATGTTTAATCCCTATGTTGTACACCTGAAACTAACTGTAATGGAAAAAGGAAACAACATTTTTAAAAACAAAATATTTTTTTTCTAATTAAAAAAATAAAACACAACTTTCCTATCATAACCTAGATACAGGATTCCTCTGGCCTCCAGCTAGCTCAGCAAAAACTACCTGCTAGCTAAGAAGCGGCAGGGCTCACACCTCCTCAGGCCTCATGGCCTCCCCTTCCCCTCCCCATTAGCAGGGACCCTCCACGGGAGGGCTGAATTCATTTGGCTGACAAAGAAAAACAACTTCCGGAACTGCCAGTTAGATAAATCCCTCAGCACAGCTAAATGAAGTCTCAAAAAAAACCCAATCCTCAATTGGTTTAGAAGATCAATCTCTACTCCCAGGACACACCCACCCTCCAGAGCCTAAGCAAGGCTGAGGCTGATGAACTTTAAGTGCAGTTTAATACACACTCTGCTTCCCCTGCAAGGAAGGAAGGATTTATAATATAAATAGGAGGCGGCTTCGCCTCGTTTAGGCTGTTTGGAAGACTGATGGCCAATTTGGAAGACGATGGACAGAGAAACAAAGCCAGCACTCCACTTAGAGAAGCACCTCTACTGAGTTTTAGGTGGTGGGCCTATGGATTAGCACGAGGAAAGAAAACTTTCACTCCACTCCAACCTTCTAATAATAATTATTATTATTATGGAAGCAGCTAATATTTATGAAACATTTCTTGGTGTTAGGCTCTGTGATAAGCCCGCGATGATTTTCCCACTTAATCCTCACCAGCACCTTGGAGGATCACTCCCATTTTGCTGAGGAAGAAAGTGGAAGAAAAAAGGGCCATAGAGCTGGCAAGGGATCAGGGAAGGGCTCAACCCCAGAGAGCAGAAGCTCCAGACACTGCAACGTCAGCCCTGACTTACAGTAGTAACTTC